ACTGTTTATAGTTCATAATGCATGATCAAAACCGAAAGTTTCTGTGATGACTGCCCTTGTACTATTCACCATGTAACTTATTCACTATGTAAGAATTTGTTCTCCATGTAAGAACTTGTTCGTTATGCTTCAGAAGATTGGAGACTGATGAAAATTAGGCCTGGGGTGGATTAATGATCATACATTGAACATTGAGTCCCCTATACAGAATTTTATTGTTGTTAACAACCATTTGATCAATAAATAGGAGAGATGCCCTCACAAAAAATAAAAGTACACACTTCCCATTGTAAAATAAATAAGTAACTGGGATGTAATGTATAGCATAAGTAATATAGTCAAAATATTGTAACAACTTGGTATGGTCATAGCTAGTACCTAGAATTATCATGTGTATAAATGTTGAATCACTGTGTTGTACACCTGAAACTAATGTAATACTGTGTGTCAACTACCCTTCAATTAAAAATAATTATCTAAAAAAAAAAAAGGATCTCCACAAATGAAACAATATTAAGAGAACTGTGTGACCAATTCAAAAGGAACAATATCTGCATTATAGGGGTACCAGAAGAAGAGAGAAAAAGGGATAGAAAATGTCTTTGAAGAAATAATGGCTTAAAACTTTCCCAAACTGGGGTAGGAAATAATCAGTCAGACCATGGAAGTACACAGAACTCCCAACAGAAAGGATCCAAAGAGGACAACACCAAGACACAGTAATTAAAATGGCAAAGATCAAGGATAGAGTATTAAAGGGAGTGAGAGAGAAAAAAGGTCACCTACAAAGGAAAACCCATCAGGCTATCATCAGACTTCTCAACAGTAACCTTACGGGCCAGAAGAGAATGGCATGATATATTTAATGCAATGAAAGAGAAGGGCCTTGAACCAAGAATAGTGTATCCAGAACGACTATCATTTAAATATGAAGGAGGGATTAAATAATTCCCAGACAAGCAAAAGTTGAGGGAATTTGCCTCCCACAAAGCACCTCTACAGGGGATTTTAGAGGGACTGCTCTAGATGGGAGCACTCCTAAGGCTAAATAGATGTCACCAGAGAAAATAAAATCACAGCAAAGAAAGCAGACCAACCAAATACGATTAGCATGTATAATGTAGGGGGGTGCATGGGGAGGGCTGTGCAACCCAGAGAAGACTAGTGATTCTAGAACACCTTACTACACGGATGGACAGTGACTGTAATGGGATTTGTGGGGGGGACTTGGTGAAGGGGGGACCCTAATAAACATAATGTTCTTTATTAATTGTAGATTAATGATAACAAAATAAAAAGCTAGTATGCTTTTGGAGCAACACTTCATAATGTTTACCTTTTGCAAATGCTATCTCTACTCACTTGTATAGCTTGTGCAAGATCACGCTGACACTTCATGCCCTCTCACAAGGCCTATCTGTGTTTCAGGGAAAAGGACTTTTTCAGAACACAGAAGCAAAGACACTTCACCTGCTTTAACACCTGTTGTTAGACCTTTGCTGCACACAAAACGTGTTTGATAAATAGCCTGTCCCTGCCTACTTTCTTTGATTAAAGGAGGTTAAGATTAATATTTTGCTTTCTTTTTTTAATTGTGCAATAGAACTTAGATACAGGTCAAGGAAGGGAACAGAACGGCAAGTGGACATGGAAGGCCTCTGTCTGCGGCTGCAGAAGGGAGGAGCTGAGATGTGGGGATGGGGGCCCAGGAGCAGGGAGTGATAACCAGTGCCATGGTCACTCGCCTCAACATTGTGGCCTCTGCTTACGTTTCAGAGAAGTTAAGTAGCTGCCCAAAGCAGCACAAAGTGAGCATTCCGGAAAGGCAGCTGTGTCCAGGGAGCAGGTCTGCGGATCTGGAGGGGCAGGCACTGCAGCTTCTCATTAAAAGTGCTCCTTTATTCTTCACTGACTTTACTGGATGTTACTGTTTTACTTTGACCAGCCAGAAGGAAGAAATAAGAAACTCTCCCTTGACTTCTAACACACTTTGGTTACTTCTCTGCCTTCTCCACTCCTGCTTCTCCACCCCCTGCAGCTCCTGCCACTGTCACTCCACAGAAATGGCTTCTGTGGGGTCACTGGAGGCTCCCACGGTGCCAAGGGGCCCTACTTCGCTTCCTCTCTGGCCATTGCTTCCTGCTGCCCTGTACTCTGAGGTACCATCCTGAGCCCCTGCCCTCTCTCTGTTCTCTGCAATCTTGCCTCTATGTTTGTGATTTCATTTTTGATTGAGTCCCCAGTATCTTTATTCCTGAACATTCTTTTGAGTTGTGGAACAGCACATCCCACTGCCTCTCGGCTGCTCCCTTTCTTGGGTGAGAGGCTCCTCAGATGAAGCATGTGCAACTTGGGACTCCCCTTCCTTCCCAACCCCCACGCTGATTTCCCCTCATCCCATCCTCCCCGTGACTCGTACTACCAGATATCTCCTGGAATCACCTTTGAGTTCTCTTTTCCTTGCCCCATCTCCCACACCCAGTCGACCAAGTGTCCTGCCAACTCTACCTCCAGAGCACATCCCAAAGTTGTCCCCTTCGCCGGCTCTCAGCAGTGATCAGCAAAGGCTCAGCTACTCAGCGTCTGGTGCCAGAATTACTGCAGGAACCCCTAACCAGATTCCCTACCTCCTCCTGGCCCAGCTCCAGTCCACCAGCCTTGCTGCAGCCGTGGTGCTCTCCGGGCCACTGATGAAAGCACATCACTACCGCAGTGAGAGAACGGACAGAGTCCCAGCTGCTCAACACAATTATTCCAGAACCTTTATACTCAACAGCCAACCTACATTTTCTACCTTTGCCATTTACCTCTGCAGCTTCTGGCATGTGCCTCCTTTGTCTAGAACACCTTTCCTTCCATACTATGCCTGGGAAAATTCTACTACCCCCGAGCAAAGAGCAACGTGTATGTGGACCCTGGCTTTGCCATCTCTTCCCCCTTGACCTTCGAGCAATGGCTTAATCTCTCCAAGCCCTTTTATATGGAGACTGGGGGGTCAAAATGACTCCTACCCCCCCATCAACACACAATCCTATTTATTCGCCCAAACCCTGCAGACTCCGGTATATACCACCACCCTCACAGAGCAGTGACCCCACACTGCCATCATTTAGTCTGTCAGCAGTGCCCCCCAGAGAAGGGGCTGTAGATAATGCCTCCTTGACTGCTGTAGGTCTGCACAAGCCTCAGGCGGTCGTGGAGAACTGAGTGCTCTCCGAGAAGCAATTGCTCCTCCAGCAGCCACTGCCACCTCTGCTGCCACACAATGTAGCTGGGCCGTATGCTACTGCGGCTCCCCTTGTCCCCAGCTTGCCTGTCCCAGCTGGGTCCCTCCACTGCCAGTACTGCCAAGCCAGAGGCATTGGGCCCAGCCCCCTGCCCCAAGGGAGGGCAAAGAAGCCCCCAGAAACACCTTCCTACACCCACTGGCCCGGCAGCCCTTCCCAGGGAGCAGCTCACCTCGGCACACGGGCACACACTTGCCCATGCTGAAGAAGTGTGAATGTAGCTCCTTGGTGAAGCAGACGTCTGCAGCTGCAGGGGTCCTGGAGTGGGGACAGGCACAGTCACCCCTGCCTCCCTTGTACCCTGCCTCCCCCCTCCCCCCACCCCGAGCATGATGCCTGCCATCATCAGCAATGGAGAACGGAGGCACAGGAGGGCCTGCGGGCCCCACCCAATGCCCTGCCTGGATTGCTGGACGCCACCTCCTGGCAAAGAAGGAGGAGGGCAAATCTGGGCAGAGACGGGTGAAGCCTGCCAGGCCCAGTGCGAGGGGCCCATTGCTCCTCACCAACGCATCAACTTCAGGTTCCAGATGCGGCGGAGTTTCAGGATCCCTAGAGAAGGAGAGGAAAGTTTCATGTGTCAATTGACCTTGTCCCTAGGGAACACCTTTTCCTGCCACCCCGTTTCAGGGAATGAGGGAGGTCTTTTACTTGTATTAACAGTTATTGTTAAATATGAAGTAGGTCATCATAATTAGTGAAGGCTGCTTTTATATTCAAATGGAATATTTGCTTTTAGAACATTAATGACTTTCTATGCAAACTTATAACCATAAGAGAAGGTTGAAATGCGTAACAAGGAAAAAGCCAGAGGAGGGCTAAAGGTTTGTGAATTGACAATGATCTGTGACGTTTGCACATTAGCAAATTGTCCTCGGCGACACTTTGTGCAGATACATATACTTACTCAGGAGGCGATGGGAATCCTGTACGTTCCCTTTCTTTTCTTTTTCTTTTTGGTGGGGGTGGGGTGGGAAGGTGTTCTTTTTACTAATCACCTTGTTCAAATGCATGTTAATGTGTCACTCTTCTTAAACTACTTGAGATGGTATAAGTAAACTAGCAAAAGAGTTTTGAAATAAATATTCTATAAAGGATTTCAGAATTATGTATATACAAAATTTTAGTTTCCAAGTAGAGAACAAGTGTTGCTCTAATGCTCCTTGAGAACCATTTATTAATTGGTGTGAAGATTTGATGAAGTACCAAAGAAGAATTCTTCCAAAGGTTATTACCAAATGCCAGCACTCAGAGAATGAACTGTTTAGTATTGTCTTTGACGCCTCCGAGTCCTGTATCCTTCCCATCCAGTTATGACCAGGCCCTGCAATGTTTACCTCTGCACCTGTACTTGAGCAGCTTTCTTTGAATTCCCGCTGCTGCTGACCCAGTTCAGAACCTCATCATTCTCTGCTGGTACTATTAAAACTCTTATCTGATTGCTCTCTTCTCCAATCCACCCTTCACAGTTCTGCAATGTGATCTTCCAGAATGTATGCCTTCCCTCCTGAAAACCTGTCATTAGCTTCCCATTTTCAATTCTCAGGTATTCAGCGTGTGCCCCATAACAAGACTCCCTTTGTGCTCTCAATGCCTACATCTTTTCTTCCCTCCCAGGCCTCCAGATGAGTTGCTTTATCTGAACTAACCTACCATTACTTCCTTGCTTTGCTTATGCTCTGCCCCTAGAATACTTCCAAGTTCCTCTTTTCTTTATCTGTTGAAATCGTATTCTTTAGCCAACTAAATTGGAATCCGTCTTACTTACCACTTCATAGTCACAGCCATTTGTTTCCTTAATTGTCATAAAGTTTTCGTGTCATTTTTACTTGAGTGTTTTCTGTTCTCACTGGAACAAGGAGGAGGCCATGTATTCATTTTCAGATTCCTCCATAGCATTTGACAGAGTCCTTTTTGTATAGGACACACTAGATCACTATTTGTGGAATGAGTAGTAGAGAGTTAGAACATGAGTTTGTTTTTCATGACTTAAAAATGTCATTCTTGGGAGGAGGGATTCAAGATGGCGGCATGAGAGGTGAGATGGAGAATTCCTTCCAAAACCACAGATAGTATGAAAATGTAGTTAATTGATACAACTAATCCTTAAACAACAAGAAAGAAGGCTGAACCAGACTGCATACAGACCTCATGAACAGAGCAGACCTCATGAAATGTTACAGGGTAACATACAAAAGCCTTAATCTGGCGGGACCCGAGCACTTCCCCCACCCCAGCTCACCTGCGGGAGGAAGAGAAATTGGGACAGGGGAGGGGGTGAAAGCCTGGGACTGCTGAACACCCAGCTCTGAAGATCTGCTTTGGGAGCAGAAACCTACACTGTGTGGTGCTCTGGACGTTGGAGAGCTCAGACAGGTGGAGTGCTTGAGAGACAGATTCCGGCCATTTGTGGAGGAGGGGATCCACACCTGGCTGCTCTGGGACAAGGGAAAGGCCGGCGGTCTGAGAGGCTTCCTAGCAGCGAGAGAGCTGCTGAAGGAGTGGGGTTTGCATGGAGCTTGCTGCATGGGGGAGGCGAGAGCTGGACAAGGCTGTCTGGGCGCATGCTGCCCAGCTGGTTGGGAACTTTGAGGAGCTTCAGGTGCCCCATCCCCCTGGTTGCCTACTCAGCTCCGAGGCCCTCCACTGTGACATGCAGCCTGCTGCACCTTCCTCCTAGTCTGCCAACACTGGTTCACAAAACTGCAGTCATTGTGCTGGCTTGAGGCCAGCCAGAGGGAGGCCCCGCCTACAACAGCTAGAGACGCAAAGCACACAGGCTTACACCTGTGTGCTTGGCCCACTGGCTCTGACACCGGAGACAGGCACCGCAGACGGGAATAAGGAAACATCTTTCCTCCCCCCCAGGCACCAGCTCCACTCACCTACGACCCCCAACCTCACTCTAGGAGCTGAGCAGCTCCAGAGACTGGAGCTTCTGGGCACTAGTGGGCACCACATAGAAATAGGAAACATCAAAAGAACATGGTTCAGACGAAAATCTCACAAACCCCAGAGAAAGCGTCAAATGAAACTGAACTCACCAATCTTCCTGAAAGAGAGTTCAAAATAAAAATCATAAACATGCTTATGGGGGTACAAAAAAACATTCAAGAACTCAGGAACAAATTTAAGTCAGATTCAATCATTAAGAAATTCCATATCTGAAATGAAACATACAATGGAGGGATTTAGAAGCAGATTAGATGTAGTTGAACTGACAGTAAATGGAATAGAAATTAGAGAAGAGGAATATAAAGAAGCTTTGGCACAAAGAGAAAAAAGAATCTCTAAGAATGAGAGAATATTGAGAGAACTGTGTGATGAACCCAAACAGAACAATATTTGTATTATAGGGGTACCAGAAGAAGAAGAGAGAGAAAAAGGGATAGAAAGTGTCATTGAGGAGGTAATTGCTGAAAACTTCCTCAATCTGGGGAAGGAGATAGTCTCTTAAACCATGGAGGTGCACAGATCTCCCAACACAAGAGACCCAAGGAAGACAACATCAAGACATATAATAATTAAAATGGCAAAGATCAAGGATAAAGACAGACTGCTAAAAGCAGCCAGAGAGAGAAATAAGATCACCTACAAAGGAAAGCCCATCAGGCTAACATCAGACTTCTCAGCAGAAACCTTATAGGCCAGAAGGGAGTGGCATGATGTATTCAATGCAATGAAACAGAAGGGCCTGAATCCAAGATTACTTTATCCAGCAAGATTATCATTTAAATTTGAAGGAGGGATTAAGCAATTTCCAGATAAGCAAAACCTGAGAGAATTTACCTCCCACAAACCACCTCTACAGTGCATTTTCGAGGGACTTCTATAGTTGGAAGTATTCCTAAGGCTAAATAGATGTCACCCAAGGGATAGACAAAGAGTACAGAATATGATTCATAACATACAAAGAATGGAGGAGGAAGAAAAAGGAAGGGAAAAAAGGACCTTTATGTTGTATTTGTAATAGCACACAAAGTGAGTTAAATTAGACTGTTAGATAGTAAGGGAATTACCCTTGAACCTTTGGTAACCACAAATCTAAAGTCTGCAATGGCAATAAATACATACCTATCGATAATCACCCTAAGTGTAAATGGTCTGAATGCACCAATCAAAAGACATAGAGTCACTGAATGGATTAAAAAACAAGATACATCTATATGCTGCCTACAAGAGACTCACTTCAAACCCAAAGACATACACAGACTGCAGCCCAGTTTGAAAAAGACAGATGCACCCCTATGTTTATCGCAGCACTATTTACAATAGCCAAGAAATGGAAGCAACCTAAGTGTCCATCAGTAGATGAATGGATAAAGAAGATGTGGTACATATACACAATGGAATATTATTCAGCCATAAGAAGAAAACAAATCCTACCATTTGCAGCAACATGGCTGGAGCTAGAGGGTATTATGCTCAGTGAAATAAGCCAGGCAGAGAAAGACAAGTATCAAATGATTTCACTTATCTGTGAAGTATAACAACAAAGCAAAAACTGAAGGAACAAAACAGCAGCAGACTCTCAGAAACCAAGAATGGACTCACAGTTACCAAAGGGAAAGGGACTGGAAACGGTGGGTGGGAAGGGAGAGCTAAGGGAGAAAATGGGGCATTACAATTAGCACACATATGACTTTTTGTCCCTAACATGTTAATTAAGTTTCCCAATGTAGGGGACTTGGGGAAGGCAGTATATATAGAGAAGACAAGTAGTGATTCTATAGCATCTTACTATGCTGATGGACAGTGACTGTAATGGGGTATGTGGGGGGGACTTGATAATGGGGGAGTCTAGTAACCATAATGTTGTTGAAATAATTGTGCATTAATGATATAAAAAAATGCCATTCTTATAGATAATTTTGTTCCCTCCAATTGAGGGAATGATTGATTATTAGCCTTATAAGTGCATTGGTTGTTACCTGATGTTTAGAAAACCTGTTAAAGAGCATTGAAGTCACAGTGTTTCATTCTGTGGGACTGTCAGTGTCTTTCTTTGCTCCACCTTGACCTTAACTGTTCAGTAACCCACTGTTTCGAGCAAAGTGTGCTGTGTGGTGCCTCTACAATAATAATATTTTACTCAAATGTGACATTAAAAAATGTCTTAAGTGGGCGTTTTGATCTGCATGTATTAGTTATAATACATTTGTTTGGAATAAGTAATGCACATCCTTTTGATACTAAGAGTGGTTAGTTTGAAGTTTAATTGTACATATTTAGAATGTGAGATGAAAATTGGTGGTTTGTAACTGAGCTAAGCTTTTTGTTTCAGAGTATGGAAGACTTAGAGAAGGATCATGAGCGTCTTCTTGCTGGTAAACAAGGTGAAATTAGAGAAGAGAGGATAAGTTTCAAAAGAGTATTCTGATGGAAGCTGTAAGTACTGTATATTTAATATTAAGAACTAAGGAATAGCGTGAGCCTTGGGGTATTTTGTTTGCTGAAATACATATAACAATTACCAAAATAATGTGCAAACATTTAATTTCCTTTCCTGAAACAGAAACAGTTCGACCTGCAGCTGTACAAGTCCTTCTGTCCCCGTTAATATGATGACTTCGAAGA